AGAGGTTGTAAGAAAAAGAAGCTAAAGCAATAAGAAAAGAGGAAAGGAAATCTAATTTATATCAGATCATTCACCACACCTCTAGCCTCATATTTCCAGACTCACAAAACATCCTTGTTTCCATCACACTCCATACCCATAGACAGGTAATCCTCATTCAGCAATCACTCATTCAACAACCATTTGAAGTTATACTAGTGCTGAACAGGGAGATTTATGACTGCTCTTTGTAGTTGTGGCTATTGTAACATCCCTGCGTTCATGTGCTTATGATTCAGGCAGGGAAGACAACAGAAGGTACAAATTGTGATCATGTAAACTCAGTGGCTGCATAGGATTCACCTTTACCCAAAGCATAACTGCAATTGTAAGTCAGTGTGGACACATGACAATGCTTTTAACAACCTTGTCACTTAGTGTGGAGTTGCTGGTCCTAATTACTATTGTTAAGCAAGGACTATCCATATTTCCTTTCGTTCTTTAAAATTCTCACTTTGCTCTTAGTCAGGTTCTCATCAGCTCCATCCAACTACACTCTTTTCTATCCTCTCAGCGAATTCACACACACACACACACACACACACACACACCTCTGTTTTTGTATTTGTCACTCCTTTTGTATTCAATCCATGTTCATTCAGCACCCATTCATTTATGGCACTATCACTTCTTATTTTGTTATACAAACACACCTCTTAACTAAGTCTCCCCCACATCACTGAACTTACTTTTCAAGAATTGCTGGCCAGTGTTGATGGTGACCAATCACAAGAATTTTTGCCTGCTCTGGATAGGGTTGCAATCTCCCTGAAAGTCCAGGCACACAATTGGGCTGCTTGTCAACCCTATATTTCCTCTGAGTTCTCAGATAAGTGTGGTGGTGAGAGGCATTTAATTTACCAGCTTTGCCTCCGCTTTAATAGGCCTCTATAATCCAAGCTGGTTACCTCCTGAATAGTTTACATTAACATAATGCACCTTTGTGTGAAATATACTTCAGAAGGATACTTGGAAGTTAGGCGGAGCCACCATAAGTATCAAGATGGGTAGGAAGAAGGAGCAAATGACAATAGATGCATAATGATTCCAAGGAAATGCTGCAAATTATCTAATCAACAAAAGAGAATATTTGTAGCTCAGCTTTGAACTGTAGGGTCCTTGGTCCTCTCTGAGATTGGCTGTTTTCATGCAGGTGCTTTATTACCATACTAGGCAATCAGTGTTGGAAGGAAGCGGGGGGGGGGGGTTGCTTTGCTCTCATTTTATATACTAGAGCAGAGGTCACCAATCTTTCGGACCTCAGGGACCACTAAATTCATAATTTTAAATCCCGCAGACCACTAATATGAATTAGTGACGGGATGGGGTCCTTCAAGCACTTAGCTTGGCCGCCTGTTAGCAGAGAGAAGCGCCCGGGGTCAACCCTAGCTTTGCTGTCCATTACAGCTAGGAATCTCAAATATAGCCAAGAATGAACATTTGTCTTGTAGACAGCCTGGGCGCTAAATTGGCCTCCTGCAAACTCTGTCTTTCGAGGAGCCTGGCTGAAGTTTGGTGCTCTGCTCACTGAAGTGCCTGGACTCCCAGGGAGGGAGGGAAGGACTGGAGCTATTAAACAGGAAGCCAAGCTAAATGCCTGAAAGACCCCATCCTGTCAGCGAGCAGGATTAATTGCTTAGGCGGGCCGTATCCAGCCCAGGAACCGTAATTTGAGGATCCCTGATTTAGTGCAATATAAAAAATGAAAAAATGCAAAGATTTTTCTGTGGACTATCAAAATTTTCTCACGGACCACCAGTGGTCCATGGGCCCCCAGTTGGTGACCACTGTACTAGAGCAGCTACTAGTATATAAAATAAGAGCAAATCACACTCTCTACTAGCACTGATGATGCTACCTAGTTTGGTAATGAAACATCTGCAAAAAAAAACAACCAACCAAGTTCAGAGAGCACCAAGGACCCCGCTTATGTAATCAAATAAATAATGGTCACAAATATATCAGGTCAACATTTGCACAATGGCATCATTGAACACATTTCAGCAGCAGCAGCAGCATGCCTGGTGGCCTGGTTTCTATGGAGTGTCTCTTCCTGGAAGAAAATAAAATCATCCTGGCTCAATTTCAAAATACTTCTTTTAACATTTCCCATGTCACTAACTGGGAGTTGTACTCATCCACTAAGGGTGAGCTGGAATCATCTAACACTAAGACCTGAGTTGTACCAGATTCAATGCCCAATGAATTATCGCCCCATTGTTTAGTCTTTCATAACCTCTGATGTCTGTGAAATACAACCTGAAAACTCACTTTCATAAGCTGGTATTTACTTGCTTAAGCACACATTACACCATGTACTAAAAGCTGCTTTAATATCATGATGTAAAGTTTTACTGTAACATTCATTTTGCTACATGATTCATATGTTTGCTTATTTTAACTAAAAGTATTACAGGCAAATTGAAATTGTAAATGATTATAGGCTCGTTTTGCTAGGAACATGAAAGCCAAAATTTGAAAAAATAAAAAAACCATTCATCCATTTTAAGTTATTCCTGCCATATGCAGCTCCCATTCCCATTTTAATCAGCTCAATAAAAGTAACATTCTATCAGTTTGGAATTATTTTTTATGGCCAACGTACTTTTCTTTATTAAGAAAATAAATATGATTAGAATTGGCACTATTTTAGTGCCACAACACAATGTGATTCTTCCAGATTCAATTCTACTTTATTTTATTTTTACTTGTTGAAAGAACACAAGAAACCCAGCATTGTAAATCTTCCCACTTCCACTGAATAGACAGGCAGACAGTTAAGTGAGAAGTTGAATGAGAAGAGCAGATATTGAGATAAAGCAAAGATGAGTGTAGCTATTAGCACTGAGTAATGATCTATAAAATGACTGTTCCAGAGGAGCAAACAAAGTGACATCAATTTTTTTAACTAATTCATTCAGCCTTTGTTCTCAACAGCTGTGCCTCCCCCTTCTTTGAGTCACAGGATACAATCAAAATAACCAAAACACTCAATCTGCACTTATGACACAAAAACCCAGACACAATAAATGGACATATCTATTACATATCCATTCGTGGCTGTAAGCGGACTCTCTATTTATTAAACTGGGTAGCATATATGCTTAAAACATTTTGCTGCCTGAATGGAGTAGTAAATAATCCTTTGACGTCACCTCAGTCAAGGTACAGAGCTTTGACAACTGATTAGGGTATTTGGAGAGATGATGCACTAAATGCCAAGAACACCTGCTCCTTTATGAAATAAGGTTATTTATTTCAGATAAGTATAAATGAAACATATTTAAAAATTGAAGAGCAACAAATAAATTATGGACTGGGTTGCCTATTCACAACTCCTCAAAAGCTGCACTTTGAAACACTATCTTGTGATGTTAACAGTTGGGCTTCTTTTGCACACGTATGCAACATGTATTTCCTTTAAACACATTTTTGATGATTTTCAAAAGTTTGTCCCGCATAGTTTTGCAAATCAAGCATTTAACAATGATTGGCCTATTGATTCTACTGGTACTTTATTGCGGAGAAAAGGAAATTAAAAGTTTACCTTTCCGATAAATGGAACCAGGTGATGTTCACACATTGAAAACATATCAATATCCTTCACAATCACCATCTCATCATGGTCTTCATCAAATATGGCATCATTGAGTACATCTGAAATCAAGACAGGCATATGCAACTATTACTTGTCATTTTCCTTCTACATTATTTTATTTGAATGTGTAGGCTATACCATTATCCAAACATGGATTTCAAAGAGGTGTACATTAAATATGGGAAATGAACAAAATTAAAAACATAAAGTGCAAATTCATCATCCAAATTACAATGTTACATTACTGAGAACCAACATTCTCAGGGCAGTTTTGAAGTGTTACTTAAACATTCTTACCCCCAACAATAATTTAAAGCTGCTTTGAAGCTCCTTCCTTCACAGTGACACTTGAACAACAGTGACACAATATCTTGCACCGTTTAATTGTTCTTCCATTGTTTTCTTTTTGTTATTAAAAAACCTAATACCAGTGATACAAGATGGTTTGTTCTTTTACACATAGAATATCTAGACATTGTCTTAACCATAAATTTAACTATGTTTCATTCATTTCCACTTCCTTGGACCATTCTTTAAAATTCTACCACCTCCAAATTGTGATAGGACATACACAAATATACACAGTTTTACAGTCTTGCTTAAATTTGTAAACCTTTTTGAATATTCAACATTTCTGCATCAATATGACCACAAATATGTAGCTTTGGATCTTTTTCCTTAATAAATAAATGAACAAATGTTATGTTTAATGACTCATTGACTTACATGGTTCTGTTTATCCAGTTTCAAGACTTTTGTGGAGAACAGGTCATAGGTATAAAGAAACACTGGAAATCGAAAAGGCACGAATGTTTAAGAAATACCGTATGTATCCAATAGAATAAATTTCCCATTTTATATTTCCATTTGTTTTTAAGGGCAAAACTTTATGATGATACATATCCTATGAATTCTGTAGCAGAAATATTTCTCAAACTGGCACAGGATTTACTCTTTGAACTTGCAGCTTTTGTTCCCAAATTCTAAAATGTCTAGACTTAATTTATAGTAGCCAAACTGGTCCTGGAGTTAGTCAAACCATGTGCAAAGAAAACCAATTAACCACAATTTAAGGTTAAGTTATAACGAAGGAGTTCATATGAAATTCATCCAAACCAGAGGTGGGTTCCGGCAGGCACTACTGCTGGTTCGCTCGTGGGTGCGTTGCATGCACATGCACAGTGCAATAAAAATTGTTCTGTGCATGCGCAGAAGTGAAAAGTAAGATGATGACACCTATGGTGCTGCCCGGAGAACCAGTTCGGAGGCATGGCAGGTCTGGGGCGCTGCCAGTTCCAGCGGCCCAGGCCGCCAAACCACTACCGGCTCAGCTGAACCGGTCCAAACTGGTAGGAATCCACCACTGGTCCAAACTAATAACTTCATGGCTTAGTATGTGAACCCAGACTTAATACATGGATTGTCAAGTTTGGAACTCAACTTTGCAAGGATCTTGTTGACTATAATGTAATGATTTCTCTGTATCCATTCTTCTCTATTAAAAATTTGAACAATCATAGCCTATCTCACAAGTATATTATGGAAACTGAAACAACAGCAATCTGGAAACCTAGTTAATATGGAAGTCATAACATAAAATGTTTCCTATAATTTGTTATATTACCAGTTTATTCATCCAAAGCAGTTGGGATAAAAAAGAAAAAGGAATAGAAAGGAAGGCTATAAATAAAAGTGTAACTTGATCTCATGTTACCTTTTTTTTTCACCCTTCTCGATATTTTTAAGAATTGATCTGAATAAAGACAAGGGATTTGTTGCCATGAAAAGTTTCCTTCTCATCTTCAGGTGACCAAAAAGCTAATATATAAACAAAATCAACATCCATGCCAGCCACTTTTCCTTTTCTGGCTTCTGCTGAGATATATCCCTTCCAGTTATGAACACAAACACATATACCAATGAACTGCCCTTTAGGCCAGGCGAGATATGCTATCAGGGGTGGTTTTAATTTCCTGTGTGCTACCAGACAGACGCAGGTATCCCTGACAACCAGAGTTTAGAGGCACACAACTGTTTTGTTACGTACTGTCCATCATTGGCAAGGTCTTAAGGAAGCCAGGCATGTAAACAGGGGATGAGGGCAGGGGGGAGAGGAAAGATAAAATATTGTTCCAACAAAGAGGCTCAAAAGAGCAGCTGTGACTCAGTTGGCTTTTCAGCACTTCCCTTCCCATAAGTCATTTGCCTCCAGCAAAACCTCTGTGTATTAACAAGTTCTCCTCCAAAGTTCAGCCCAGGCAACAGATTGTGAGGCAACCACTAATCTCAGGAGAGATGCCAGTCCAAGTCATGGGTTGCATGCAATCCAGCAATAATCTGGTTTTTCGGGATAAAAAATAATCTAGTTCAGGATATGCATCTATTATTCCAATAGCACGTGCATGGAGGAATTATCTAGATTAGCTCACTCAACACCCACCCCCCAAGCAGCTCTACTAATTTTTAGATTTGCTTCCCAGAATAATGCAATCTGTATTCACCTATTTATTCCCATTGCAATGGCTTGTTTCTAGTTTTTTGTAAATGCCTTTTTCAACTATGAGGAAAGGACAACATTGTCAATGCAATGGACTCTTTAGGCATGCCAAAGGCTTTGTTTCAAGAATGAGGCTGCTATGGAACAGTTTCATAGGTTTTAGGTAATAAAACATTTTGCCCCTAAATATTTAGGGGCAAAATGTTTTATTACCTAACACGTATGAAACTTTTCAGGTTTGACGCCTGGTTGATTACATCCAGGCAGTTTTCTTGTCTATGCTGGCTGGATGATTATGGAAACTGATGTTCACCACATATGCAGGTAGGGGGAAGGCTGATATAGAGGATCACATATGCTACAACTATACAACACTTTCCTGAGTGTTAATCCCACTGAATTCAATTAGCTTTACACTTCTGAGTAGAAGTCAACAGAACCAGTTCCACTAACCATTGCTATAAGTCTCTATACGAAATTTTAAAAGGAACTGACATTCATCAACTGTATATTGTTAAAAAAAAGGCAGTAAAAATATTTCAAATCACCCAGAATATTTGATCTGTTGATCTAAATGTCAGCATTTGCCACTTCAAAAAATGATATCTGATCCTGCTTGTGTGGCATAGGTAGTTAAGATATTCATAATGAGCTTTTTCTAAGGCAGGGGTGTCAAACTCGCAGTGTCACGGTGGTGTCCCATGACATATAATGACTTTTCCCCCTTCATTAAACCGTGCGTGGGCGTGGCCAGCAAGTGACGCATCTGGCCTGTGAGCCATGAGTTTGACAAACCTGTTTTAAGGAGATCCATATCAACTCACTACTTACTTGCAAACTTCTCTATCTTTGAGCTACTCATTCTATCTCCAACCTCAAAACAACATTGAATCAAAGAATTAAAACTCCAGATGAATCAGACTTCCATGAATTTATCTATCCTCATTTCAAAGCCCTCCAAACTAGCAACCATCTCCACATCTTTTGGTAATAAATTCCATAGTAATGAGTTTGAGAGTTAGAGAGCCTCAAAGAACCCTTGGTCCTTTGATTTAAGGGAAGAAGAAAAATTTCTCTCCATTGTCATTTTCCAAGCTAAAGAATTACAGACATTCTTTTTTTTTTTTAATAATTATTTTTATTTTTTTGTTACATAGACAACAATGGAAAAGGGAGAGGATGGAGAGAAAAAAAAAAAAAGGGGGGGGAGGGAAAACCCATCTTCACATACAATATGTCGTTTAAT